AAGTCCCTGAGTCCTTCTCCTGTGTTTTGCCTGATGGCGAAGATGTCGTTGACCCTGGCCTCCGCTTTCTTCGCGCCTGCATGGGCTGTGACGAATTTATCCGCCATTTCCTCGAACGTTGATATTGCCTTAGCCGGTAGTTGAGAGTACCATGTTAAGGCCCCTCCTGTCAACGTCTTGCCAAACTTCTTCAGCAGTACCGACGGTACCTGTTCTTTCGATAGGTTGTTGCCCTTCACAGCGGTGACGTAGTGGATCAGATGATCCTCGGGATCTGTGGTTCCGTCATATACCCTTATGTAGGGTGGCATCTTGAAGGTTTTTGGGGTGGAGTGAGGAGCAGCTTCTTCGGTGTATGGTTGTTCAACGAACCTTCCCACGTCGCGTTTTGGTAGCAACTTGGGAGCACCGGGGATCTTGTCGACCCTCTCCTGATGTTCCTTCATCTGACCCCGGAACGCCTTGTTTTCATTTCCATTTCTTCCATCTTCTTTAGGATGGCTGTTAGCGTGCCATCGTTGGTCTGTGTCTCGATGGGTCTGTTATTTACTAGTGTATCTTCCGGTTCACCCATGGCAGCAGTGGTACCTACCGTTGGTGTACATACGATGTTATTTTGCGTGACCTCTCAACCAAGCCACTTAGAGTGCTTGTTAGCCATCTTTCCAGTAGCTCTTTGACCACTGAGAGTGCTTCCGTAGCCGCAGATGTGGAAGCTCCTTTTTCGTGCAAGATCGTCAGGCCTTCGGATGGGGAAGGTGAGATCTCTGCACCTGGTGTGATGCTAGGGGTTGCATTCAGGATGCCACCGTCACTGGCCTCATTGAGAGGGCCCAGGAGATTGGTAGTGACACCCAATATGGCTTTCGATCTTGTGCTATTTTCTGCCATTTTTCTGTTTTTGTGTAGTGTAGAGAGTGGTAGTTGGTTGATCTCTAGGTGGATACTATAATTTTGATTCTCGAAATCCCCACAGACGACGCCAAATTGTTTGGCTCAAAAGTTAACGATATACTTTGTAAGCGATAAAACAATCAAAAATAGAAGAGGGGTAAATCGTAATCAAATATAATAAGCCTAGAGACGCAAAGATGATAATATTGTTGTAGATCTAATATTGCAAAGTGACAATGTTTACCAAAAAGATATTTTCGTTAGAAGTAGAGATATAGAGAGAGAAAGCCAGAAAAATGAGAGAGTTGTATTAGATCAGATCCCCCTTTTACAATGTGGAGGTCTCCTTTATATAATAGGAGACCTTCTTCGAAAGAATCAAAAAGTTACAAAGATAGGTAATGTCTCCCTAGTGTAGACGCTGAGTTCTAAACGATGTCGCTTTTGTCCTCACGACCGAGTCGTACCCGCTACGTTGGTCGGCGTACACTCATTGAACGTACCCACTGGCATAGAGATACTGAGGTCAAATTTGACCCTATACACTTTGTCCCTTTATTACATTATACAATATAGTAGAAGTAGCTAGGTGGCCAGTAAATAATTTTGCAACGTGTTCAATATATAGCAGAGTCGAAAGTCGTCCATTGAGAAAGGCAATCACATGGCATGGGAAAGCAGCCAAATTGCATATTTACAGTACTCTCATTCATAAACAGGCACAATATCAAGGTAACCATCATGTAAACTTAACCATCTACTGATCTACTATATGACGTGTTCTACTCATATTTTCGTACAGTGTCACATAATAAGATATTAAACTCTAAAATACAACCAAAGTACTAGACAAAACCTACATATAATTTACAGCTTAATTTGGATCCACTCCTACAGTTTTCAAGGTCACTACACCCGGCTTCCTGCAATAATATAAAATTGCTAGATAAGTACACTGATACTATTCCATATTTGTGCTAAACGAAAAGAGAAACAAAATTGAAAAGCAAGTAATAGAAGTAATTAAATAGTAGTAATAACTTTACTACTAACTTGGTATAAACGTCGCCACGAGCTGGATCAGGAATGACACGGCTAGTAGAAAAATCCTGAATGTGAGCCACCTTACGGAATAAAGATTTGTTAATGAACTTATCGGCCTCTTCAGCAACATGTTCTGGCTCCACTATCTCAGGCAGAGTTTCCCTCCTTGATTTTTTTACATGCACATTAGGGGCTCGCCTCAGCTGATGCATAGCCGTGTGCAGCCCGAAACTCGCCGATAGTCCGATCATTCCTAGCGCCACACACACTGGCACAAAGTCTCCCTTTCTTGACCTGCAACAGTCAGAGGCTAATTTAGGACTGTTCTGTGTATTAAATTGAATCCATTTCTGGATTATGCATACGTCTTAAAAAATTAAAACGCAAACATATAACAAAACTGCTCTTATTTTTTTTTATTCCACTTGATACTAAATTTTGAATTAGGCCATCATCCGCATACAACAACAACAAAAAAGCCCAGTAGCCAGTAGCGTAGTCACATACGTTTAAGGGTGGTAATCGAAAAATTATACTGTATATATAAAAACTTATATTATGTATACATGTCAAAACGTTTATATTAAATTTTTAAACACCTTTCGCGAAATTCCTGGCTTCACTGTTGCCAGTGGCAATACATAAACTGTAAAATCCTTTATCAAGCTACGTAAAAGGAGTAGACTATGGAGGACAATAATCTTACTTGGGCACATGAGTTGCGTTAAGTTGGACAGGTGAAGCTGCCTTAAATTTTGAAGTGGCTGCTGTGGCATAATTTACTGAGGAACTTCCCTTTAAGTGAGTAACCATGGATTTTAGATAAGTCTGCAACATCGAAAAAAATACCCTTTTATCTTAGTTTAATTAGCACTAAGATAAATAATGAGCAAAAGAGCATCATTCATCGCACCAAGTTATATAATAGAAGTAATTGGAACTTACCGCTGATCTAAAAGCCATAGAAGTAAAAAATTGCTGTAGATTGAACTAAGTTAAGATTTTGATAAATTATGATTCTAAGCTTGGTGTATCTGCTCAAAATCGAATTGTTTGCGGATGATCACTTTTGCACTTGTGATCCATTTAATAATAGAAGGACAGAGGGTTCCGGAGACACCTAGGACATAATAGAACAAGGACCCTATGATTTTACCAAATGGGAGTTTGACACATGTCGAGTAGAAATGAATCCACGTCACTGCCATGGGCATGGAAGTCTCCTGAAGCCACCAAAGTGATGTTTATCAGATATTGATCACTTAATTAAGCATAGTATCCAGAACTGAAATATTAGCCCTACTGAAATCATGGGCTTGAATAGTAGGGTACAACAAACGCTAAGTTGGGTTTATATATTGGGTTGATCCAATTGTCTGGAACGAAAAACTATAGTCAACTGTTTACTTTTTCAGTCGTTATTATACATAATTATATAAATATTATATATGAACTATAAATATATTATATATCCGTTAACTACTTTTAATTTAAAAAATTAAGTAGATGGCTATTTGGACTTATTCTTCAAAATCCATATTTAGGTGATTGTGGTTTATGGGCTGTAGTCCAGCAATGCTCATTGGGTTGAAAGTTACTGAAGATGGCTTTGTTCCATATACTGATACATTAACTCTGGTAGAAAAGATGTTGACGTGGGGCTGAGATCAATTTGCTTCACTTGCTTCTTCGAGAGTCGATTTGTTTATGCTTATGCCTACTTACCCCTATATCTTACCCCTATATCTGTCATATGGGATTCTTTCTAAAAGAAGATGATCATAAGTTAGAAAAATAATACGTACTATAATTGTTCTCTTTCATCATTTTATTTTATCTGCAAGAATGATATGTTCTGTTAAATTCATCTGCACCTCATTGAACTGTGATATGCTTTTGTCTTTCTACCAACTGTTTTATTATCTCATTGTTTGTACTTTGGCATTTCATTTTTGCTAAATCGTCAGGAAAAGTCAGCGTCGTGTAGCATCAAGAGTCCATAATTCATATCTTCTTAGTTTCTGAATTTAGCAATGCAAATGATACATTAGTCAGTACCATTGATTGATTTTTTTAAAACGTTACATATCAACATTTAAAAACATCAATTAAACAGCCTTACCTTATTTAGACCATGAGATGAGGCATCTTCTCTTGTATGACGGTACTCAGGACTTCCATATCTATTCCATTGTTTGGAACTCAGATCTGTTATCTACAACAGTTTTTGAAATATCTTTGCTGCTACACTACACTAAAAGTTTTCCTTCTATCAAGATTCAACAATTTACATATATACAAAAAATTTAATTTACCGTATTTGTACACTATAATTTCAACAAAAGGTTTCATGTTGAAGCAGAACATATATATTTGAGATTAAAGTATGGCTAAAGATGATCAATATTCGTTTGAATGCAGATTTTTTGTTTCGATAAGGATATACAAGAATGCGAATCACGCGGACAATTTTTTTCCAACTGCGTATTTTCTAGCACATGAAATGCAGATAACAGGGCTATAAAGTGCACCATTTTGTAACAAGTTATAAGGATTTTAGTTTAGATGCTTGTCAATCGACACATCCTATCCGTGCTTCTATTTCCATTACTACTGACCACTGTTGGCATGAGTATAACTTGTTACTTTCTGTCAGAGCAACATAGTCTATTTTTCGACTACTACCGAAGGGTTAAACCACTTTTGGATTTACAATTATACTTCTGCGAAAATGAGGTAGCGAGCATAATTGCTCAGAAAATTGCTACTTTAGATCTAAACTGTCTTCTTTTGAATCTGCTGCTTCAAGTAATCATAGACGACATACGAAAACTTTACAACAGCTTTAACTATGGTTATTATGCCCGGGCTAATCGTAACTAGTAATTTTATAAATGTTGATTTACGACCAGAAATAAAGTATGAAAAAAGGCCGAAGTTTATTCATGAACAATTTATCGCACACAACTCTTTGTATTTTTCGCTAAGCATGCAGAGTCCGTATGACTACAAAAATCTATCGGAGCAATTCCTTGAAAGGTCAAAAATCTATCACCGCGACACAACTCAAAATCAGTGGATTATAAGCCCGTCCCTTTACCCTTGTCAAAAGATTACACTTTCGTTTGGGGCGGGGTTCTAACTTGTACATGCTTTTGTCAGACCAAACCCAGGGCTAAAAAGTCAATGATCTATTACACCACAAAACCATATATAATGATAATAAAAAGCCGTTTCTTAAAAAAAAATCCAAATAAAAGAGAAACCTATCACAAAATTAGCCTTGACAAAGGTCCATAATCATCAAAACTACTACAGTAGGTGGGAGAAAGGAAGCCGAACAAGTTCGTTAAGATGGTAAAAAGCTCTGGACAAGATGCCTTGTTTCTAATCTGTTTGGAAAGACACAAGAGCACAGTCACCTCACAAAGCTGTTGATAAGAGAAGCCTCAAGATCTAAAAGAGGTTTCAACCAGTATCACTTTATCCCCGGACAACCTGGATGGCAAGAAGAACAATCAGCAACTTCAAACTGGAACATACTAGTAAGTCATCAGGGAAACAAAATTGACAGTATTTCTATGAAATTCTTCTTGAATATGATAGAGTAGCTCATTACTTTATATTAGGAAATGTCACTCTATAGAAATTCCAAATTACATTGTAGCAACAAGAGTTAACACTCAAGAATGGTTGAGTCAAAGTGAGAATTCATACAGTTAAAGAACCAACAATAATAACCCGTAGAGTGCAACAAATCATAACTCATTATTCAAATAGGACAGGGAAACCAGAACAATGGGAACTACGTGCAGTTTGATAACTATACAAAACCAAGACCCCCCAAAGTTTTCCGCAAAGCCACAGGTTAACAGACTCAAAACTCAAGCAATCACAACTTTCAAAATTAAATTCCACAAAACCTGAAATGTGTGTGTGTGTGTGTGGGGGGGGGGGGGGTTAAGGTATAGTGGAGGCA